AATTTTCCCTGGGCCCCTATCTCCATTCATTCATTCATTCATTCATTCAAAAAAAAAAAACCTACTTTTGACACAACTTCAAACTTAAAGAAAGGTTGCAAGAATAATACCACTTCCAACCATCCCATACCCATATTCACCAGTGTTGACATCTTACCAGTTGGCTGTATTCTGCTCTCTTCTCTCCATATGTGTACTTGTGTGCATATATGCACAAAATACATATCTACAAACACACAAGTATATGTATGTATTCTTGTAACCGTTATGAACAAGATGTCCTTTGATCCCTGGGTACTTAATTGTATATATCCGAAAAAGGAATTATCTTGCATAACCGCAGCACAATTTTCAAAATCAGGAAGTTAACAGTGAGACAATTCTATGATCTATCCCACCAACCTTACTCAGATTTCGCCTGTTATCTGAATAACGTCCTTTATATCTACCATCATGTGCCTTTTAGTCTCCTGTAATGTGGAGCAGTTCCTAAGTCTGTCTCTATTTTATGACATGGACAGTTTTAATTTAAGAGTGCAGATCAGTTCTTTTGCACAATGTCCCTCAATTGGGGCTTGTCTGATTCATAGTTTCCTGTGGCTAGACTCTGATTATGTGTTATTGGCAGGAATGTTACAGACGGATGCTAAGTTCTTTTCACTGTGTCATATCGGGAGTGATATTCTCTGTCCGTCCATCCCTTCGCTGCCAATGTTGACTTTGATAACTTTGGGTAGGTGCTGTCCATCAAGGTTTTGCGCCGTAAAGTAGTATTTTACCCTTTGTGATTAGTAAGTACTAATAAGTACTCAGTACTAAGTACGTACTTACTAGGTAAGTACTAAGTGGGAAGATACTTTCAAACCCTATGAAGAGTTCTTTATTACTTTCCAAGTGTTCACCAAGTAGGTTAACATCCATTCATAATTCTTGACTGAATCAAGTATTAATGTGGTTGGTTACCAAATGACTTCCAACATTTATTAGCTGGCTTTCTGTTGCATAGGACAGTTTTCCCTCATTCATTCATATCCATCGATCTCATGAGTTACATTATTCAATGGTTTACAATCCTATACTACCATTATTTACTTTAATACTCAAAATGTTCCAATTTGGGGCCAGTAGGAACCACTTCAAGCTGGCTCCTCCATTCTTCTCAAGAAATATTTCTGAGTGCTTACAAGTGGCATTATAGACAATGATGAAAGGGGAAAAAAAAATCCCTGGCCTCATAGAGCTTACATTCTTGTTTGCGGGAGACAAAAAGAAATAAATATGCAAACGGTATATTGCACTAGAGGACAGTAAGTGTTGTGGAGACAAGTGAAGACCAGCTTTGGTGTTGGGAAAGGTCAGGGAATGCCTCGCTAGAAGGCGTCATTTGAACAAAGACCTGAAGGGCATGAGGGAGCTGGTCATGTGGCTGGAGGGAAATTTCCAGACAGCACCCAGCACTCCAGAACAGCAGAACAGCTGTGATTCCTGGAGGTGGGAACACGGTGGCATTTTCAGTGGGATCCTGCTGGTTGCCCAGTTGAGGACTGACTGTGGGAGGTAAGGGTGGATCCACTGCCAGTGTGCCTTAAATTCCCTTAAATAGCGCACATCTCTAAGGCCGCGAAATTTTTGTTAAAGCGTATCTCGTTATAATGACAATTTATCGACTTACTTAGCCATCTTCAAAAGCACAGTGCCTGTGAAAACAAGACTCTTAAGGAGGAAGGAAAGGTGGGCATTCAGGGTTGGAGAAGCAGAAAATCTCCACCCGCTGAGCACATATTAGGTGATTTTTAGTTTTATTATTATTTTTTTTTAACTCTCAACAATCTTAGAGTCCGTGTTATTTTGCACGTAAGGGAAGTGAGGCTCAGAAAGACCTGGCTTTCTCTTCTGCCACGAGGGATGTGGTCTCCAGCACAATGCTGTGAAGAGCACAGGGAGGACACAAGTGGGACCTTAGCATGTTCTTTTATTCACTTTTCTAATGTTCTCTGCAACAACTCTTCTCATGGTTTCCCTTTCTGGAACTGAAAACAAGTCGCAATGTGAGTCTGTCTTACCAGATTACTGGGCAAAATGCTCTTGTGGCCATTGGAAGCACCCTTTCCCGCCATGAGTATTTGTGGTTGGGGGCATCATCTCTGCAAAGCTGGCAGAGTTTTCCCCAGAACCCTCAGCTGCACTGTGTAAGCAGAAATTTGAATTCAACAGCCTTGTTTCCATACACTTGCCCAACAAGCCACCTGGCTACACAGTACTAGCTCTTAAATTATTGATCTTTTTATATCTGTAAGTGTTCATAAATATGCATGGCATATGGTAGGCTGGATGGATGGATGCGTGGGTAGGCGGGTGGATGGATGGATACATGGGTGGGTGGATGTGTGGGTGGATATGTGCGTGG